GAGTGTTTGAAATTTTTTAAGTTACGTATTTAGCCAATTTCGTCACAATTTGTTATGTTTAGATGGTTTAATTTTATGTGTAGGTACTATAAAATGGACTATAAATTTTGCACATTGACTTTGATTTTATATGGGGGGATGAGTCGCTCGCGTCCGTAGGCTTCGACCACCTAACCTTAGGCCCACCCTACACCTGTCCCCCGGGTGGTGCTAAACCAGCGACAAAGCCGAAAAAATAGACTCGGCTCCTCGCCGTATGGTAGCGGCGTAAAATCTACCACCACCCCTTGTTCGCACCATGAGTCAGGAAATAAAAGGAAATGGCCCCGAGTTCCCGGCGCCCCTTTGATGGGGCAGGGGTTGCGAAGAATCTCCGGGAGAAAAAACCGGCGACGAGGTTCGAAACCGGTCACGTTCTGTCTCACGGAGGGGCGAAAAGTGGATTGCAGAAACCCGTCTGGCTACGCTGAATGTATGTGGAGGAATGAATGATAAGATGGATGAAGTATGCGAAATGATGAATGACAGAGGAATAGATGTGTTATGTGTGAATGAGACGAAACGAAAAGGAAAGGATGCCACTGCACATGGCACGTATACCGCGTATTGGTCTGGTGTAGACGAGACCGAACGGGCATGCCAGGGAGTCGGTTTCATCCTTTCAGAAAGAATGGGTCAATGTGTGAAAGAGTATGAATGTGTAAGCCCGAGGCTGCTATGGATACGAATGAAAGTGGGCTTAAAGAAGCTGTTCCTGCTAGGGGTGTACGCCCCAGACATGTCTAAGCCCACTTACATCCGAGAGCAGTTTTGGGACATGGTAAGGATGGTGTTGACAAAATGTAAGGAAAATGAAAATATTATTATGTTAGGAGACTTTAATGGAAGGGTTGGGGTGAAGAGGTCTGGTTATGAAAGGACATTGGGAACGTTTGGTGATGAAAGTATAAATGAGAATGGTGAAGACCTCCTCACCGTATGTGTGGAAAAGAATCTTTTTGTGACGAATACTTTTTTTCGTCATAAGAAGATTCACATGTATACATGGGAAAGAGGTGATGATAGAAGCATGATAGATTTCGTAATTGTGGATGAAAGAATGAGGAGCGCAGTCGTAGATACAAGGGTTTACCGGGGGTCCAACGTAGGGACGGATCATTACTTGGTCTTATGTCGAATTAATTGTCTTTTCAAGCGTTGGCGGCATCGGACATCTGTGTCTACCACTGCGTTACAGCGTATAAGAATAGAGAAGTTACAAGATGAAGATGTGAAAGAGAAGTATAAATGTAGACTGAGAGAAAATATTAGATGTTTGAATGAGTTGTGTATGAATGGTTTAGACTTGAATACTGTGTGGGATAATATTAAGAAAGGTTTGGTGGATGCCGCCACCGAAGTGTGTGGTGTATGTAAGTAAGATAACAAATGAAAGGAAAAGTAATACGTTGTGGTGGGATGATGAGGTACGGGTGGAAGTTGAATCAAAGAAGGAAGCATGGTTAGATTTACTAGCAACCAAAGCTGGTAATTCTTCTGGTATGATGATAAGTTTGAAAGAAAAAAGGCAGAATTTAGACGTCTAAATAAGAGAGTAAAAGAAGTTGTTGAAAGGAAAAAGAAAGAAAGAACGGATAAGAATGATAAGAAGGATATCTGATAATTTCCAGGCTAAAATAAAAATGTTCTGGAAACTCGTAAGAACTGCCAGGGGAAATACAAAACAGCCTATAATTAATGCTATAAGAGACGAGAATGGATGTATTCTGAATGATGAAGTTTCGAATTTAAACAGATGGAAGGAATACTTTGAAAGCGTGTTTATGAGTGAAGAGTCGTCTGAATTAAATGAACTAGAAATTCCGAAAGAAGTGGAAAGGGGTATGGAGATAAGCGTAGGTGAAATAATGAAAGCAATGAAAAGCATGAAAGCAGGTAAGGCAGCTGGATATGATCAGTATCACTCGAGATGCTAAGGGCTGGAGAGGGAGTGGTGGCAGGCCTGCTGTACACCTTTTTTAATTATGTTGGGAATTAAAACGGGTACCGGATGACTGGTGTAAAGCAGTTATAGTACCAATATATAAAGGAAAAGGGTCACAGCAAAAACTACCGTGGTATCAGCTTGCTTAGTATTGTGGGTAAACTGTATGCTAAGGTGTTAATTGAAAGAGTTATGAAAGAAACTGATGGAAAAATTTGGGATGTGCAAGCGGGTTTTAGAAAGGGAATGGGGTGTACAGATTTTCCATGCGCACGATTGCGGAGAAGTTTTTGGCCAAAAACCAGAAAGTTTTTTGTGCGTTCATGGACTTGGAAAAGGCTTATGACAGAGTGAACAGGAATGTGTTATGGCAAACACTGAACTCATATGGGTTGACCGCTGGTTTGATACAGGCATTAAGGTCTCTTTATAGGGACTCTAGTGCTTGTGTCAGGATCAATGGGGTCTACTCAGACTGGTTTGGCATCCAAAAAGGTGTCAGACAGGGCTGTGTAGCTTCCCCTTGGCTGTTCAACCTATTTATGGACAGGTGTTTGCAACCTTTGAAAGATGAAGAATGTGGGTTAAGAATGGGCGAGTTAACCGTCAAATGCCTTTTGTATGGTGATGATCAAGTCATATTTGCGTCATCGGCGGCTGAGTTGCAAATGATGGTTACATTAATGAACTGTTTGTGTATTTGGGATGTGTATTTAGCAAGGATGGTAGATATGATAGGGATATAGAACGACGAGTAAAAGCAGGGAATAGAGTGAATAGGGCACTACACTCTATTATGAAAAACCAGAATGTGTCAAAAAAGGCACGTATGGTAATTCATAATGCTGTGTTAGTCCCTACTTTAATGTATGGTAGTGAAAGCTGGGTGTGGCAGAAGAAGCACGAAAGTAGAATAAATGCTGTAGAAATGCGGTCTTTAAGGAATATGCTAGGGTTGAATCTGAATGACAGGGTGAGAAATTGCGTGATAAGAGATAAATGTGGTATGCAAGATGATGTTGTGACCAGGATTAAGAAAGGAATGCTTCGGTGGTTTGGTCATATAGAAAGAATGAATGAGGAAAGAGTGACAAAGCAAATTTATATGGCAGATGTGAACGGCCGAGTCGGGAAGGGACGCCCTAGAAAAAAGTTTATCGACAAAATTGGCGATATTTTGAAAATGGGCCACGTTAGAAGTACCCTTAACCGACGAGCATGTATGCGTAGATATATGGATGTAAAGGAGGCGAAAGAGGTATGTCAGGATCGTGCCAAATGAAAGTCCGTAGTCTCTGCCTACCCCTCTGGGTGCAGGCGTGAGTGTTTATGTATGTATTTATTAAATAACACGAGGTTATATCCGACCACGTCTTGTTGCTAATTTGGAATACCCGATGTGATGGTAATTTGGAATATTCTTTGTTTTCATTTTCTTTGTAAGACATCTATTAATGTCCACTTAATAGCCACTTTCCAATATCTGATTGAGCTGTTGATATACCTATGAGTCTTCGGTGACAATGCAAATAATATGTGACAGCAACTTGATCTGATGATCGCGTTAGAAGTTGTTCAATAGAACTCATCGGCTAATAGGCCGATTGAGTTGAAATTTGGCATATATTTGGTCACTTGACACTACTCCTATTGTTCTGACTACGATGTAATAATATGGTGACAGAGAGTTGATTTGACGATGGAGTCAGGAGCAGTTCAGTGGAACTCCTCAGTGAATAGTTGTAAGTTAAAGGTAAAGGCAAAAAGACATAGACTACAAAAGAATGGAAAAAGCTATGCCAAAGGAAAATGTAGTAAAAAGACCTAGAAACGATGTCGATGAGAGTTTGGAATCTTCTAACTCTTATTATTTAATTAATAAGTGATTATAACTGATTTAAACTTATTATTTCTATAATAAATATTCTTTTCATATTTTTATCCTTTTAGTCAGATCTTAAATTCACTTTCGACTAAACTGAAGGTAATTTGGAATAAAATGGTATTCCAAATAATCTTCACTCAAGTTACAGACAGCTTTTAAAGCTCTAGTATATCATTTGCAAAGTCCTACTTTTTCTTCGAAAACCATGGCGTAATAATATCTAACATAACTACTAGTACTAATAATATCTAACATAACTAAAGTAATGCGTAGTAAATATAATTTGAAATACCTCTATTACAAAATACCCGCATCACATGTCGAATACTGAATTCTGATATTTTACGTTCAAGTTAAAATTTTACCTAGTATTGGTGTATACTTAGTTGTTTTAGATAGCTCGCAGATTGATAGTTTATGAATTTTGCTTCAATTTTATTTTGTTAAATCCGACATAAAAAATTACACAGGCCTAAAATTACCTTCTTTTCCTAATTCCAAATTACCTACCTTTCTTCTACGCTATAGGTTTATGCTATTACATTTTTTTTTATATAAACAAATATTTAAAACGCCATTAAATATTTTGAAGTTTCCTTAAAGACTGAAGGATTGTTAAATATTTTTTGGCTTATCTCATTTCCTCTTATCTTCATTTCACTTTTTCAGATTAGCATTATCGTAACTCGCTTCTCTATCTCTGCCAGAATATCAGTTTCAGGAAGTATCAACTCAAAGCAGATTTTTTAATTTGCATATCTCTAAGTACTTCAGTTCTGTTCTCTACAACAAAAATAAATAAAAGGCCGTATTCAAATTTGTCAAATAATCATGTATTTAATTTGAATTGAAATCAATAGAAAAAGTTGAAATTAAATTTTAGCTTTAACATTTAAATTAAAAAAGGTACAAGAAATAAATCTTAATTAGTGCTAAGAAAATAATTTTTTGGTAAACAAACCCATTACCACCAATTTAATAGTATTTTTATAAAAGCGTTTGATCAAATGAAATAATAATAATAATAACTACAAATTAAGAGACAAATGTAAAAAAAAATTAAGAGGCGGCGCTGGTATTGCCTCCATCTTTATTGGCAGCCATTTTGTCATTGGCGCCATTCTGTGGCTGTCAGAGGCACAAGCGGCAGATGTCGTCGTTTATCTCAAGGACTTGGTCGATAAACGATTGGTTGGATAAGACTTTCGCAAGTTTGCAGATGATATTGCGTAGTTCACCTTCCTTATAGTTCATTTGTGCGTTGCAGAGCTCAACCTCTTCCGATATTGAGTCTGGTATCTGTGAACAACGTGCATAGTAAGTATTAGAAGTCTTCAATTCTTAATGTTGCATAAATATGAGCTCCAATTCCTCAAGTTCGTGGCACTCGCTAAAATTATAACGAATTCAAGCCGGAATATTTGTTTTTGTTTTAATATGTAAATTTTCAATAACACTATAGCATTACGGAGTAGCGAAGAGAGCCTGCATACATTTACATCGAAATATGATTCGAAGTATTTTTCTGTGCTTGTTTGCAGGGAAGTTACAGATTAAGTGTTACGGTAGGCAAATAGTGAAGAAAAATTAATTTAAAATTTCTCGAACTTGTCCTTTGTGGCTAATGCATTATTTATACTGATTTTACTGCGCACGCACACATTCGTAAGGTTCAATTAGTAGGCAAAAATTTTGTTGGCCGTAAATCACATTCAATTTGGGATAATTTCAAATAAAAGTAGAAGCCTTATTTACCCGTATTTTCTAAAACCGTAATAATGGTATTATATCATTATTTATATATTTGAACTTAAGTTTAAAATTTGGCCACTCTTTGAAAAATAACCCTGTATAGTCTTTGTACTCGTAGGTTAGGGCCAAAGACCTATAGGGCTAAGCACTTGCCGTAAATTGGCTATGGCTACACGGGCTCCGCCCACTCCCCCGTTCCATTATGTATATATTATAGTATTATATGATTATAACCAATGAAAACAACAAAATAACGTATAAAATGAACCCTTTACAACGCAGCGGCGAGTGTATGAACCTACACATTAAATTATGAATAAATAATTGATAGCGACAAAGGCTGCAAGCTGAATTACGTATCCTTCGTATGTAAATTATATAGAAATGAAGTTAATGAGTCGTTCCTTTCCGAAGTAATTTGCATGTATTATCAAAGCTATTGCCCTAAATACGCTATGCATAAAATGTAAGTATGACATCATGTTATAGTCTAACCTCTAACGGAATATTATATTGGCAGTTTAACGTCGATCAATTAATTTCATTCTATGTATTTGTTTAATGTAGACGTTTAATCTTTTTTTTTATAGAACAGGGATGGCAAACGAGGACACAGTACACCTGATGGTAAGTGGATGCTGTAGCTCATAGACATCTAAATTTACACTCAATTAAGGGGAAATATAATGTCAAATGGCTTAGCAAGATCCTTCGTTATGCCGAAAATATTGCAGCATTAATTTTGAAATAAATATATGGTAAAGTTGAGGATTAATGTTAATGATTATGTTAGACGAAAACACGATTTCGTAAAATTTTCTCGATAGAAAAAAAATCCAAAGTTACCTCCAAAATAAACAATAAACCGCTGTTATTCATAAAATACTTTAAATAAGATCATGAAACTTTGCATACTAACTGAACTAACTATAAAGCAGTGCTTATGTTATTTACTTTTTTTAAAATACCATTATTTTCACTGTAAAAAAGAAATTACCTAAATTATCGGCCTTTTGATCACTTCGCCTCGGCCTTTGAACGGGGAGGTTGTGTCGCTTACGATCAGAATATACATTACACAACAGTACGACGTAAAATTAAAATGGGAAATAACCGTGATAAAAATAAGAAGCGGCTGGCTTGGCGTTAAGAAACAGGCATAAATATGATAAACCTAATGAAATAAGTGTCTAACGACCTTTCTACTTACAGTATTAGTGATTACAAACATATCGGTACATAGCATACGACGCGCGGGGAAGTGGGGGCGAAATTAGAATTTGAGCTGACTTACTCTATCCTCTTAAGAATCAAAATGAAATAACAACGTCACCCCAGAGGACTAAGATGGAATGCCTCGCGTTTCCAGTGAAAAGAGTTTTCGGTTCTCTACACTCTACATATGAAACACTAAGCTGCTATTTTACGCTGGTATTCTATTGTCCTTCCCCGGTCGAGCCGACCCATTCGTGCTACAACCATAATATAGCTGCAGCGTGGCTCTACCACGTGTTAATGATTAAAAAAAAGTCCCGTCGGGTTTCTTGTTGGTTCTTTTAAGGACAGATGTATTTTCCGCACCTGCGTTTATCCCCTACTTCAGCGTAATTTCTCCTGTAATGTGGAACTAGTCTTTGTTTGGTCATTATAAGGTTACCACGATTTTACCGGTATTTCAAGCCCTACATGGGCCTTCCTAGTAAAAAGATAATATGGTAATCGCCGGGTTCCGCCGGCAATTGACCAATGTATTAACAAAATGTCTCGCCCTTTAGAAATAAGAAGTAGCCCCACTTCTTGATGCCTGTCTGAGAACATTACACCGGATATGACTACGAGATTTTTATATTACTTCTTGAGAAGACATTGGCTATGAAAGTGGATGGATATAAGGCTATAAGGAGGCCTTAGAAAGAAGTGAGTGAAGAGGCGACTGCTTATGCCTAAATAATCAAACGCTACCCAATTTTAGGTGCCGTTAAGTCTCGTGCCGTCTCTATCACTTTAATTCAAAATGACTGTGACACAATTAAACTTAGTTTGAGTATTTAGCCGTACTTAAGGAGAATGGTAGAGGAAGACATGATATGCTGACTCCAAATAATTTGGGATTAGGGCATGAAGAAGAAGACTCTATATAGGAGGACATGAGATTGTAAGAGTAATTCCCTATGTTGTTTCTTACAAGATATATGTGTGGCGGTTCCACTGTGGCCGTGGACGGAAAAGGGGAGATCTCCCGCCGGGCAAGGTGTTCCGCCCGGGGAGCGGCCAACACTCCGTTTGATAGTTCGGAGATGTTCTTCTATATGTACTATTTATGATTCGGAATTTTGATAGCGTGATATAGGCTTCGGTGTGTTTCGCTTGCGGCGCGACGACAGCGCCACCACATATGAAATGAGATGGGGTATTTATGCTACCACTCTAATTTACTGTATTTAAATATAATAGCTGAAGTGGCAATGCGCCGGCCGTATAGCTCTCAGAACCGACAAACGGGAAGAAAGGTTCTCGAGTAGCAGCCTCGTACCGGTAGACGAAGTGCAGGCTGTCCTCCCGCTGGAATAAGTGACGACCTGGTAAGACATGCAGGAAGTCGATGGATGCAGGTCGCCGAGGACCGTGCCTTGTAGCATTCCCATGTTCAGCAGTGGACTTGTGAGGGGAAGGGTTAATTTCTGTCATGGAGACTAGCCATCTGCGCAGGACAGGATTACAGTGCCCGAGTGTGTGCGCAAAATAAGTGCACTCCCTATTTCCTTATTCTTATAATCCGGTGGGATGGTGAAGTATTCGACACGACCGGAGAGAGATCAGTTGCACAACAAACGGCTTTACGTGCGTTCCAGGGCACGAGAGTGAAATACCACCAACTTCCTAACACCGGGCTACTACTTCTTCTTCTTTCAACTTCTTTATTTAAAAGAAGTTACCCCCACACTAGGATTTTCTACTGTATCATGGAGGCAGTGTACTAAACAAATGGCACAAGGTCAAACATTCAGACTTGGAACAACTATGAACATACAATACTCCGGTGTCACCCGTGCCCCCAGCCAGCAACTCATTGCTAAGCCACTGCATCACGGAGCCGTCATTGAGAATGTCTACGAAAATCCAATAACTACTACTACGCTACTGAGAATTTCTTGACAGAAAACCCAATGACTGATGTTTGTCCTCACCCGGGATTCGAAAATACGGGATCATGTGATCATCGACCGCGTGTAGGACAACTATACGAACGACGTAGACAAACTATTGGTATGTAAATATAATTTATAACTGTTGAATGTTTTACCAAATAGTTAAAGCATAATTTATTCGAGGTACGGAAAACAACAATTGTTATGCTTCATGTAATGTAAACGTGCCGCTCACACGTGCCGGGAAGTTTGTTCAGATTAGTTTAGAAATTATGTGGTTTTACAACTATTACGTGATTGCTGTACAGTGAATGTTGACACAACGAAAAATAGCAACAAAATACTGTCGTGCTTCATACGACGAGTTGGTTACGGTTTTGATTCTTCAAGGATAGAATAAAACAATTTTTATTAAAATATAGGTTACTAGCTATCCGCCGCGGCTTCGCACGGGTAATTTTTGGATCTCGACAACATATGCATGTTATACATATAAATTCTTGAATCATTCTGTATATTTATGACAACCGCATCAAAATCCGTTGCGTAGTTTGAAAGATCTAAGAGTACAGACGGCGGGAAGCGACTTTGTTTTATACTAGGTAAGTATAGAAATAAATAATACTTATTGAAAGTAATTTTGTATATTTTCCATTGGTTCGAAAAACCTGTGCCCTGAAAAGAACCAGCAAGACACCCAGCGCGAGATTTTATTTCAAACTAACATTTTACAATGAAATACAAACTTATCAACACAATGTTACCAAAGCATTTGCTCTCTCAATCGCGACATACGTCTCTGTTTTTCATTTTTAGAGTTTGCATCTGGATACTTGGACCATGAAGAGGCTGTGTAAGAACTAATCCACTGCCCCGTACGTCCCGTTTGCGTCATCACAGGCGACAGGGGGATACAAAACAGGACATGGGCAGCAGCGTCTTTTTAACCTGTGATAGCTAACCCGCCTTCCAAGCGTATCCTCCCTATGAGGTAATAAATAGGGGGGGGGGGTCTGGTTCAGCAGTGGACCTTTGATAGGCTGTATGTGGTAACGGTCTGAATACTCACAGAGTCCGGGTCGATGAAGGTGTTGAACTTATACTTGGTCTTCTGTTTTTCGGTGCCGCTGTCGAAGAATAGAGTGAACTGCGCGTCTTTGCCACGGCCGCCTACCGGGAAATATAGCCCGGCTATGAGGTGGCCCTTTTGGTCGCGGGCAAGGAGACTCCTGGGGACAAAGTGTCGGTTTCACAAATAGCTTAAGTACTATGTTTTTTAAAAAAAACTGAAGTGATAAATGAACGGTACCTGACGATAAGTGCCTACTGCAGTCCATGGACTAACAAAGTTGGCTACAGACATATCACCTCTGGGGACTAGGATGGAATATCTCACAGTCTGTGATTATACTGCTCTCTAAACCCTTCAGGTCTGATCACATCAATGCAAGCACAGCCATTTGGCGACAGAAAAAGGTTGCAGTGTGATACCTACCGGACGGATTCCTAAGTAAAACGATAGAAGTGTAGAAGGTAGAAGAAGTACCTACCGGACGGATTCCTAGGTATAAAGGTGGGAGTGTGGTACCTACCGGACCGATTCCTAGTTAAAAAGGTGGGAGTGTGGTACCTACCGGACGGATTCCTAGGTAAAAAGGTAGGAGTGTGGTACCTACAGGACAGATTCCTAGGTAAAAAGGTAGAAGTATAGTACGTACTAAAAGACACAGACATACCAGCGTAAAATAGTAGCTTGATGCTGCTCTCTTTTGTGTGGTGAATGTAGAGAATCGGAGACCCTTTTGAATGGAAACGAAGCATTCTGAAAGTTGTACACAAGGCTCCGCCTTTCGGTGACGTTGGTGCCGTCCATGACTATGGTTTTTAAAATCTCATACCTGAAATTATTTCGGTTGAGATACGCACCTGAAGTTGTAAACAAGGTTCCGCCTCTCGGTGACGTTGACGCCATCCAGGTATGGCCTGGCGACGTACACCAGCGAGGTCTGGCACTTGACCGTGGCGCCACGCGTCTCCCGCTCGCGCCACTCCACATAGCTGCCGTTGTGCGGACTCAACGCGTAGCTGTACTCCTTGCGGCACTGCGGCTCGTCCGATTGTGTGAACCAACCTTAACCGCACATAGAGTAATAACTTTTTTTAAATATAAATAACAAGAGCCAACAAGTTTTTTAAAATATAAATAACAATGAAAAACGAGCATACAGTCTACCTGATAGTAAGTAGATGCTGTGTGTGTGTGTGTGTGTGTGTGTGTGTGTGTGTGCGTGCGTGCGTGCGTGCGTCGTTTGCGTGCGTGTTTGCGTGCGAGGGTGCGGGTGGATCGTGCGTGCGTCGTGTGTGTGCGCGTGTGTGTGTGCGTGTAGTGTGCGTGTGCATGTATGCATGTGTGCGTGTGTGCGTTGAGAACATCGAGACAAAGCTTATATTTATGTTGCTTATGTATGCTTATAAATATGTAATAAATATACTTATAAGTAATTCATAAAGGATCTAAGGGATAAAAAGTTACATAAATAAATATACATGTAAGTATCCCCACATTATAATCCGTGGGTGTAAGTGGTGACAGAGGGAAAAAAAATCAGGGGATGGACTGCAGCATCTGTCTAATCTATACATATAAATAAAATTGATGTTTTTATCTGCAATATTGAAATAACCGGCTGCTATTGGCTGCTATTGCGCTTAGGAGGTTATTAGCATGCTATTAAGTAATAAATAACCATTTTTAAAATTTTGTCTGTTTGTCTGCCAAAATTAATCTACGTAACCGCTCAACTGTTTGTGATAAAGCATTGTGAACAGATAAAGATCAATCTATGAAATATTTTATATGAAAATTTGAAGATTTGTTTTTGAAAAAACTAATAATTGATGAAAGAAATAGTCTTTGATTATCTTTACATATTAATGATCCTATTCAGGCGAAGCCCGGCGAGGAGGAGAGGGGGGGGGGGTAGTACCTACTAAAATTATTATCTGGTATTTTATTAATATATGCCACGGTGGGACATGCGGGCAACCACGATTTCAAGTTGTTATCAGAAAGACGCTGCTGTCTACTTTCTGTTTTATTATTCTTTGTCGCCTCTAACGACGGAAACAGAAACTGAAACTTTTTTATTCAATATAGATTATAAAAATACTTATTGAAAGTCACTTCTTTAGTTTAACACTGGTACGGAAAAAAACCTCTTTCTTGGGACGAGCCAACAAAATACCCAGCGGGATTTTTATTAGAAATAGCTTCGTAGCGATCACCTTTCACAGAGGTTATTATCATCCATAAATTCCTTAAATATTATAATAACCCTTTTTACACAAACTTAGTTTAATAAAGTTTTTGACTTTGTGCAGGTGAAGTTTTGTATATTTTCTGGGACTTTGTTGTAAAATCGTTGGTATACATCAGCTAATTAAATTTTTATCATCTTTGATAATAATTCATTTTAAAACTCACCGGTATGCGGATACGCTCTATCCGCCATGACGGTGACAACCCTGGGCACGTGGTACCCGGGATCGGCCAGCAACACACCAGGGCGGCCGTCGACCGTGATCTGCACGCAGACCATCACATGCTCCTTCTCGGCCGCCTCCACCGACGCCGGCCCCTCCCCACTCGTCACGTACTCTCTCACATCGACCACCGCCTCTTCGCACGACACCAACGCAGTCGCCGCCGCGAAACCCTTGAACTGCTTATCCAAGCTCCGCCATCTCCTGATCAGCTCGATTCCCAGCCCGACGCAAGTGTGCTTCCGCGGGCGTATAGGAGGCGAGTACTTCCCGAACAGATCTTGGAGGGGCTCGGCGGACTTCTCGTAAGCGTCGTACAGCGAGAGGAAGTTATTGACGGAGTCGTAGTTGTCGGTTAGCAGGAGGCGGCGTAGGACGGCCTCCGCTCGAGTGACGAGGTCCTCGTGTGAGGAGGGCGTGAGTGGTAGTGGGGAGCGCGGCGAGGCCCAGCGGGACCGAGGTAGAGGCGGGCTCAGGCCGCGTGGTGCCGAAGCGAGTCAACTCGGCCACTCGGCGCCCCAGCGGCCGACCGTGGGCGCTCCGGCCTCGGCCTCCGCGCCCGCCTCGGCCACGGCCTCCACGCCGCGCGCATCGTCGCGGCCTCGCTCGGTGGCGACTTCGACGCTCTTCAAGAGCGCCTCACGCTGCCTCTCTAACACCAATGATGACGATTTTTCACGCTCTGTCGGTAAAATACACTGTATTAATTTTTGATACAGATTTGTGACATTAACAATTGCGTTGACAAACGTCAGTAAGCTTATTTTTTAATTAAAAAATAATAAAATAAGCAGGACTATGCTCTCACAGAATAGCAGCGTATCATATTTTAATTTTTCAGAGACCCTTGGTACTGGTAACTATAATCAGGACAATCTATCTTGGTCTTCACGTGTCACCTCTGAAGACTAAGTTCAAATACAATTAGATAAATGGAAACACTGTTTTCTAAAACGAACCACCTCGTTGGCCAATGAGAATAAAGTGGTAAAACTATAGAATGGGTTGGCTCGACTGGGAGAGACGGAAAACCACGCTCCCACAATGCCAGATTAATGCTGCTGTGAGTATTGAGAACCGGGGAGCTTTATTTAATGGTACCAAAGCATTCCATCTTACTCCTCAGTGGTGACAACGCATCTACCTTTCGATTCTTAATCGAAAATAGATGTTCACTTGCCATCAGGTGGACTGTGTGCTAGTTTGCCACTCTTATTCTATAAAGAAGTAAACTCATATGAAGAACGTGTACTTGTACTATCATGACGCAGTCTACGCGAACCAAGCCACGGCAAAACATAGGATTATGTGTGTTCAAAAATGATTCATCTCTACGATTATTTTCTGTTATAAACGCTATGTAACCATTCTGTTACTCAACGTTAGCTAATCTATCCTTTTCATTCTTATCTACCTCTTCAAAACACAAACAGTATTACAGACATAGAACACCTGCCAAGCCTTTCACATAGATGTCAAAGTATAAGCAATGTTTTTGAATTACTATAATGACGTGATAGTAATTCCTAGAAAAAGAAAAATCTTTTAGAATATTAAAAGTATAGAACATTGAAACAATTGTAAATGTTTTCAACCTTAATAAACAATATCATATTGACCCAATGAGGATTTGTCTCATCATTTGGTCATGATGATAAGCATTGAGGTTAATTTTCTCACACGTGTAACGCTATTATAGTAATAATAATAATATAACATTACACTTGCGAGAAAATTGTAAGCGTGTAATGCTTTATTACTATTGTAGGCACAAGGTAACGTGAGATTTGGTTTTGATATTTTTAAATGAATTTACCGCTAGAGGCTTGTTTACAAGATGCTACACGTGGAAATGAGCTTGACGAAAGAGCGAATTAGAAGAAAAAAATCATTAATAAATTGGATAATTCTTATGATCCGAAAATAACAAAAAATAAAGTCAAAGTTACAGCCTACATACGTCCCACAGCTGGGCACAGGCCATTTCTCTTTTCTGAGGGTTTAAATGCAAAGAAAGTGACCGCCGCGCTCCCCAATGTAGTTAAGATACTTCACATATTTTCGGAATATTTTTAGACATGCAAGTTTTCTCATGATGTATTCCTTCACTGCAAAGCACGTTTTAAATCACCTCTTGAAATTGTTATTAACAATTTCATTATTTGTGGGCGACGGAACCGGGTTGCTAATATTTACTGAACAACCACGGTTCTTTAATTATTATGATCATCATCAATAAAGCCTACATAAGCCACATATTTGACATAGATTGCCTCATAGGGAATATATGTGCCATAGTTGCCACGGTTGCCAGTGGTGGCAACCACAGCTTTTTACTATTTCAGTTGTTGTATTAGATGCTACTTCCGTCCCCGGTTTCGTATCCCTCTGTCGTCTTTCGACACTCACGTGATGACATGGTGTAGTAGATTCCCTTACGTATTTACTACACTGCGCCTATAAAAAAAAGTTCACTGCTGAACATAGGCCTCCCCATAGATTGCCTCATAGGGGGATTTTGCCATAGTTGCCACACTTGACAAGCGGGTTGGCAACCGCAGCTTTTTATTCCTTGGATTTTTATCAGGACGATGTTGCCCATCACCTGTTTCTATTTCCCTCTGTCGCCTCTTACGACACCCGCGGGACGATATGGGATAATGTCCTCCAGACCGTATTTCGGCCACGGCGGCCTGCCTCAACGAGACTAGCCATCGGCGCAGGACAGGATTATAGTGCCCAAGTGTATGCGCAAGCACAAGTGCACTCTACATTCCCTCACTCTCATAATCCGCTGGGACGGAAAACCGACACGACCGGAGAGAGATCAGGCGCAGGACCAGCGACTTTACGTGCTTTCCGAGGCACGGGGGTGAGACACCGCCAAGTTCCTGACTCCGGGCAACTACTGAGAATTTCATGAAGGAAAAACTCAATAACTATTTTTTTGGCCCGACCCGGGATTCGAACCTCATGAACAGCAGTCACACTACTACAACCACTAGACCAACGAGGCAGTACGATATTGGATAGTGGATATTCTTACACTAGTACGTAATAAAAGTAAATTGTGTGTAATTTGCTAAGTAATAACTACAGTCACCGGGTTTACGTCAGCGACGTAGCACAGCTGTCGTAAAAACCCCTGACGTAAAACTTAGGTCAGTGAATAACACATACAATTTTTGAGCTCAATTTTGTTTGCTTTAAGTTTTAACTAAAAATAAATCTATTGACACACCACAGCTGGGTACAGCAGGTCTATTCGCTAACTTTAATGACTACCTAAACGATAGTCTTTTTGTAACACATTGCGTGGTAAGCTTTTTAATAACAGCCACCATTGCTTAGAAACCATACGACGCAATGTACTATTCTTTTGGTGTCAACAAAGTGACTATCACTTTAGTGTCAACAAATTTACGGAACTGGTCTATTCTGGTTTCTGATACGAGGGTTATGGTATAGTAGTAGACCGCGCTGTTACATTGTGTGTTGGCGGATTTCATATAATTTTTTGTGTGTATTTATAAGACCTGCAGATGTCGTCAAGAAGTTTTTCTTTAGCTGAATGCCTCGAGTTTCACAGTACGTTTAAGCCGCCCGCCCGCATCAATAAATTTGTTAGTAGCAATTTTAGGTGCTGTTTTACCACGTGCTTGGCGGGTTTTTTTTATAGAATAAGTAAGATAAATGTGCGTACTGTTCACCTTATGATAAGTGGATGATGTGACCAATGTTGATGCGTGATCGTGATACCTGAGGACTAAAATAAAATGCCTAGTTTCCAGTCAAAGGGGTCTCTGGTTGTCTACACTCGTCTCTGATATCTCATGTAGCTGAAGTCTTTCTTCACACACTAAAGCAACTTAAGACACATTCTGTATGAGTTGGGATGATTTTCTTATTTTCTTAACCTACCAAAAACTACCACAAATTTAATTATAATAAATTGTTACTTTCTTCGTAGCCTCCAAAAAGGCCTTTTATAATCTAAAATCTTTTATAACTATCAATTTACGCACAAAAACGACGTTATCTGATATAAAATTTCAGAAATTTTTTATCGCAGCTAATCAATCTTTCGTGACATAAATCAATTGATAAAAGTCTTACTGAAATGTTATTATGCAGTTATCAAGCATATATTCGACAAATTCTTTATTTTAAAAGTGGATTAGAATAGTTGATGATAATATTTCCCACATCGAAAGTTTCAAAAAGGGAACTTAAATTATAGGCCAGGCAACATGTTATAACTAGAACAGACAATTTCTTGACAGGATTTTGAGAATAGGGAGCCAGTATAGTTACAGGCTATGAGGCATTCCATCTTAGTCTTCAGATGTGACAAAGTTCTTGTAGCCTTCTTTGTATGAAGTTGACTGCTGATCTACAGCATCAGCAGTCAACTAGACTGCAGTAGCCACTTACTATCAGGTGGACTGTGAGTTCGGTTGTCATATTATTTTTTTATTAAAAAAATTGGTTGAACCTGCAGGCCATCCCTGATGCTAATGTCAAACGCAAAGCGCTCCAAATTTCAGCAAATTATGACGTTGAAGAAATATTGGAGTCATTTAAAAAAATCAATTTTTTCAAAATTTTTCGTTAACACTATCTCCCGAAGTCGCGGGGAAAAGCTAGTCAGAACATAAAATTGTGATCAACAAGTTTAGTGTTATCGGCCGGGCTGAAACTCTGATTGCTGATGTATTATACAAAGTACAATAAAAGTAAGCAAAGGTACAGCCTATCTACCCCATTACTGGGCACAGGTCTTTCAAGGGAGGGTTTAAAAGAAAGGAAATGTCTTTGATTTTTTATATTTTCGGATATGAAGCTTTATTCACGTTGACGTTTTTCCTTCAACGCCGAGCTCGTGGTAAATTAGCACTTACAATTGCAATTTACAAATTGCCTGCGGGGATGGAACCCGTTAAACAGTGCAGTGGCGGCGTAAGAATATCCGCTACCCCTATCATCCCGCGGGTGTCGTAAGAGGCGACAGAGGGAAAGGAATCAGGAGATGGGTAGCAGTATCTTCCTAATAACGACGCAAAATGAAAAAATGCGGTCTCTAACCAGCTTGCCGGGCGCGGCAGCTCTGGCAGATATCCCCCTACGAGGCAATATATACTTATATTATGAA